CCCAAGAGAAGAAGCTTTGGCCTTCGTGTTGCTTTACAATTTCCCACCAGGAAGTCATCTGAGAAAAAAGGGCCTGATCAGGCTTTGTCTGATTTACCTCTAAAGGACAGTGGATCCCTCACACCTCTTTCAAAAGAAATAAGCCTAAAGCGGTCAGACAAAGTAGAAGGCTCTGCTTCAGAGTCTGAAGAAGACATCAAAGAAACACAGGAGGAAAGTTCCAATGCACTGCTTAAGAGAGCCATAAATATTAAAGAAAATAAAGCCATGGTAAGACTTAAGAGCAGTGTTTTGTTCTCTAACATTTACATCCAGTTACTTAGCTTTAGCATACTTGAATTTTAGGGTCCCTGCTAGTGCTGTGCTGGAACTTTGGGAACATCTTATGGTGATTTTTTTCTACCAGGGAAAACCCTAGAGGACCCTCAGCACTCAGACATTTATCCGTAAAAAAACCTCAAGTAGGGACTAGCCTGGTCAAGTTTAAAAACAGAGTAAAACTAAGAATTTTTTATAGAGTTACAATAATAAAGTTACAAATAACCAAGTTTTGCAGCCTTCAGAACATGTTAGAAACTATCTGGTCCTTTCAAGTGGTTTCATTTTGTGCAAATGGTGTCATTTGCACAATAATGTTTCTACTTTTTTTTTATTTGTGATCTGCTGCAGTTACTGATTGGAAAGCCAGCTAAAAACTACTGAGAATGATAAATGTAATTTTTCAGTTGTATGGGATGTGATTTTTAGAGTATTGCTTTACTATATAACTGCTGAACATGTGTACATGTGTTTAGGTGTGGAAAAGAGCAACTGATCATTTCCTAATGTTTTTTCCTCTATTATCCAGCATTCTACCAGCTCTCTTTAATTATCATGCTGCTGTGTAATCCGAACTGATGTTCAATCTTTAGTAGCTCCTTCAGTTTTACTGTGTTTCAGGGAAAGTTGCAGCTTCCAAGCAGTCTTGGGGCTCAAGCAATACCTCTTGGTGTGGGCCTGCAACTCCTGTGTAAAGACTTGCTTCAGCTTTGTACCTCTTTGCACTTCTAATCTGTCATGTGGCCCCACTGCTGTTGTGTTGGTCTTGCTGCTCTTTGGTTCTTCTCACCTTCCACTCTTCTTGCAGTTCATCCACTGTGAAATTCACTGACATCCTAGGAGCTGTACTGCAATGGCATAAGATAGCTCTTAATAAATGCACACTGAAGTATTTACTGAGAAATACTGTATTCAGCTTTTAATCTCTTGATGGCTGTGGCAATCTCAGAGAGCTAGCAGCTTGGCTTATCCCCACTACTAGTGGCTTTTCAGAAGTTAGCCTCATTCTGGAATTCCAGAACAGGTCAGTGGTCTTTTTTTACCTATCAGCCACTGCTTCTGTGGAAATGTACTTCCAAGACATCTTGTGCATGGTGCAAGAAATCATCATCCTGCAGAAGTACTTCTGATGCTGTACATGATCAGAACATGCATGCATTGGAGGAACTGCCAGTGGGGCTTAGTTGCTCTCTTTGTAATGAGTGTGTACCCAGTGTCTGCACTGCTTAAGGGGATGCTGAGCTCTCTGGCAAAGAGCACAGATGTATCTGCAGTGAGGAAAAGCTCACTGGGAACATCTTACTGTCTTCTGGCACCCTGTCTTTTCTCTCTCCTATCATATGAACTTAATTTCTCGTTATCAATCATTACCATGTTGTAATGCACTCCTTTGGTGCTGTTTTGACAAGATACTATGTAACTCTGGCTAGTTCTAATTCCCAGTAAGAATTAGTGGGAGCTATGAAGTTAGTATTGTTGGCAGAGTTTTTGCTCATGGCATAATTAATATGCCATGAGCCCCGCTTTATTTAAGTGCTTCCATAAAGATTCCTTGCACATGTTTAGCTGTAATTTGAAGTGCATGTGAAGAATGGATGGTAGGTGGTGTTGCTTTTTTTGCAAGTTTCAGTGAGTTTTCAATTTGACATCACTTGATTCCAGCTTGCCCAGCTGCTGGCAGAACTGAATTCCATACCGGACCTGTTCCCAGTGAAAACACCCTCCTCAACTCCTTCAGTAAGTTCCCAATACTGGTTGGTGATGATAGTAATTTTTGTTAGACTTAGGATTAATGAGTTTCATCAGAAACTTTCAGCAAGTTCGTTCTGGTTTTCTTTGGGTTTGGTTACTTCATTTGTATAGATTTGCTATTGGTTGGGAAGTGCCAGAGATTATGTGAGGAAATGGAATTTTATAAGATAATTTATGAAGAATTACATCCCAAGACTCCAAAATTAGGAATCTTCAACTAAACGAAGCAGCTTCTTAATATCCTTTCAGTTTAAAACGTTTAAAAGAAAATTAACAAGAATTCAGCTTGTTCCTCAAACTGTGTATTCCTCAATTTTCCTCAATTGTATATTCAGATTGTGGGAAAATCTGAATATTTAGCTACCAAAGAGCAGTGATAACTAGCTTCCACCTTAATATGCCACATGTTAAATTTTGGTATACTTCTGTGATGTTAATTGGAAAGGAATTTGATGTAAAGGTGTGATTTTTAAAGTAGCTTAAAGGTATAGTGTGTAGGGAATATATTTGGTGGTGGAGTTTGGCTTAACAAATAAGGAGTAGGAGAACAGTAGATCAATTCATGATAGTACAAGTGTGGTGCAGATATTTTCAGGTTGTTTCTAGTGTTTAACACTACAAACATAACTGAAAAGACAGTTACTTGGATTTTCTTCTCTTTGTAGAAACCGAAGAAAACCCCGAGAAGGACATTCTCTGAAGGCCAGATAACACGCCGGATGAACCCAACCAGAACTGCTCGTCCACCAGAAAAATTTGCCTTGGAAAAATTTACTGTGTCAGCTGTCAAATTTGCAGAACACATCCGTAGCTACAGACAACAAAACCTCTTGAAGAGACTCAGTGTGGTATTTGTCAGATTTTGATATCCCCAGTAGTCAGGAGCTAAGAAACATTTAAATTGTTGGCCAGCACTTAGACCAGACACCATGTCCTACGCAAAGTTGTTGAAAATCTTTGGTTGGGATTAGCTACAGAAGAAGTTATCTCCAGGCCTTTCTGTCTCATATTTCACCTGTTAAACGGGCTCTGTTTGTGACCGGTGTTACTCGGGCATAACAAGACTGTTAACTTCTGGTTTTTTATTAATTCTTCATCTGAAAATTACTAGAGCTCTTAATGTATAAATCCTTGGAGTGGCAAGGCAGTGGGGTGGTGAAAGTGGCAAAGCAAATCTTCTCTGTTATCAGACTCAAGATAAAAAAGGCAAAAATCCTTCTCTGGAAATAGCAGATGGAAGATTTGAGTTATGTGGCTGAACTGAGAATGAATTAAGGGAATCTGCATCAGCAAACTGCTAATGTAAGGCTAGTAGTGGAAAAGCTTCAGATTTTACTCTTTCCTATTTTTAAAAATAGGGTGTTTTCCTTCTCTAGCTTATGGTGGTCATTTGTCTTGCTTACATTTTCTTAGCCCTTATGAGGAAGACCCTTTAATTTTGAATCCTTACAGGTTGGATCCCAGTTCTGCTTGTAGGAACAAGTGCTGGACATAGTTAAAGCATTATAGAGGGAACTTGGCTATTAGAAGAGGAGTAGCACCAAATGACAACCTGGGCTGGTAAATTACTGTTTTGGACAGGACAAAACTGATCTAGAGTGGAGGACAAATGAGGTCTAAAGAGACAGGTATGGGAAAGGCTAAGAATGTGATGAGATTTGTTCATGAATAGGGATCAAAGAGAATGATGACTTAGAAGGAAAAAAAAATCACTTAGTGGTGAGTGGACTACTCTCTTCCAAATAACAGGTTAATAAGAAAGGGCTGGGTAAGGCAGGACTAACCTGAAACTTCAGCAGAGTTTTTTTTCAGGACATTAGAGATTGTCATTGGAGAAAGCAACTAGAGAACATACAAGGAGATTGAAGGAGGAAAGCAAGGGAAGGCAGATGATCACAGTTCCTGATTTTGAGAGGGAAGAAATGGAGTATGAAGAGTTACACTAGAAGAGGATGGGGAATGTAAAGAAAAGTTAGCAGTAAAACATGTCAAGGATTTGTGCACACAGAAGTAGTAATGATGGAAAGGAATTAAATAAAATTAATAAAAAGCATAGTAGAGAAAAGATTAAGGGAGGAGAGGGAGAGAAAGAGGAAGGGGTGATTTGGAAACTATTCCCTGTTCTTCCAGTTTGCCAGCTGTGGACTGCATACTCATTGTAAATGAAGGAATTTGTCACCAAGTGTGGTGACAGAGGCTTCATGACATGAGACAAAAGGTACTGAGATGAGTTTGTTTAGCAGGGGGATTGTGGAGTACGCAAAAGAAGGAGATCATCGAAGTACTCGACTCATCGCCCGGTAGAAGACATAACTGAGGAGGACTTGGACAACATTGCAATCACTGTTAGAGACAAAATCTATGACAAAGTTCTTGTAAGTGGTTGCCGTATTCTTCAGTGTGTCTGTGTGCTTGAAATGAAAAGTCTCTCACTATTTCACTGATGTTTGCTAAAAGGTGTCCTTTCCCGAGGCTCTGGGGAATTCAGCTCGTTATTATGTCACACAAGTACAGCTTTGAAAGCTTTGCCAGACTTCTCTGCGCTTGGCTGTGGTGGTTGATACTCTCCACTGGCTTTTTGCCCCTGAAAAGTGTTTTTGTGCCACAGAGCTATTAAGTCAAGTTTGCTATAGCTGTTACTTGCCACTGGTAAGTGTTGGCATCCTTTTTGTCTTTCTCACTAATAAAAATGTGTTGTACCACTAAATAATAGTAATCCCTGCTGTTCTTTGTACCTCTGGAAATGATTTCTGTACAGGTTGTGTAGTGTCCAGTGTTCTTAATGGAACTCCTCTTTCCTTGCTTTCACTGGATTTGGCTGTTATTGATTATCATAAAGATCATCTTACGATGGATGTCATGCTTCATGGTATGGCAGGGATAAGTCACAAGATCATTTGCTCAATAGTTTTAGAGAGAAGGACCAGAACTGTAATTATGAGGTTCCTGTAATTTGAGAATTCCATTGCAACTGAAACTTAGCACTGTCTCTGTAAAATTCCTAGCATTGTTGTATGATTTATCATAGTAACAGAACTTGCTCTTCATTGTTTAATTTGACTTTGGTTTGAAGTTTGTGCTTATTATTATTAGGAAAGCTCATCAGTGGGCATTTAAGATGCCCTTCATATAAATGTTCTTCTCTTCATTCTACCTTAGGGTAGTACTTGCCACCAGTGTCGACAGAAGACGACCGATACAAAGACAATCTGTCGCAAACAGGGCTGTGGAGGAGTAAGGGGGCAGTTCTGTGGACCATGTCTTCGAAATCGATATGGTGAAGATGTGAAGTCAGCTCTGCTTGATCCAGTAAGTATCATTCTTGAACCTGGAATGAAAGTGTAATGAATAGTTTCATTATTAATATGTCATGTTAAGAACATGCTCATAGTAACGGTGTTCAAACTTTTTTTGCCAAGAGCAGATCTGTAGTACTAACTAACGGCTCTGATGTGCAGCCCAGTGCGGCAGTGGCTGCTTTATTAGCACCTGTGCTTTTATGTGCAGTTGCTGGTGGAGGTGCCTGACTTCATGTACCAACTGGTTAATTCAGTCCCAGGAACTGTCCTGTACCAGCAGGCAGAGAGAATCAACGGAACTTGTAGCAGTGGGTACCCATCTCTTTCTAGGGAGTTGACCACAGTCAGCCTAACAAGAAATGAATGTTAGGCATTACAGATGACTTCGGTCTATTTGAAAATCAATACTCAGCACATCAGAGAACCTGAGGCTTCAGAGTAAGAAGTATTCAAGCACTTAATAATTTCTCTAATCCTGCAGAATTTGGAAAGTGTTAAGAAGGTTGGCTGGCTGGCTGATAGAGGCTTGTAAAACCTTGCCCTGAACAATCACGTGGTGGGGAAGCCATATTCCTATTTCTCTGAGCAACAGGAAGGCCAGTATAACATTTTTCATAACTTGCTTTTCTTCTCCTCCCATGTTCACGCCCCTGCAGGCCTGGATCTGTCCTCCTTGTCGCGGTGTATGCAACTGCAGCTACTGCCGCCGGCGGGATGGGCGCTGTGCCACCGGCATGCTAATCCACATGGCCAAGTTCTACGGCTACAACAATGTCAAGGAGTACCTGGAAAGGTGAGAGCTCTGCCCTCTGGTCATTCCTTTTTAAACTGTTATAGCCCTTCAAATAACATTTGACTTCTTGTGCCCTGGGGCAAATCCCACACCTATGCAAAAGAAGTTGCTTGGATTTCAGATTTTTTCCTTGGCTGAAATTAGCTTATTTGAAGTGAAGTATATTGTGTGTGTAAACAATTAATTTGATTAAAAATTGAAAGACTTCTGCCTATTTTGAAATTGGTTGGTTGGCTGAAGTGTATAGAAATGCTGTTGTGGAAGTTATCACCTTCAGCAATGGAAATTTATAGGGAAGCTGAGTTTCCTAAAAATCACTAACACTGTTTTCTCATATCTTCTAGTTTACAAAAACAACTGGCGGATAACAATTGAGAGCACTGAACTCCAACTGTGCCTGAAACTGGTTCATATGTTAACAGTTTGACTTCAGAAGTTTATTACTATGTTTTACATAAAATAGAATTGTAGTGTATAGCATATTCATTTCTATATTGGGAACTTTTTGATTGATATGGTCTTATGTTGCTGTTGAGGTGGCAATAATGAAGACTCCAAGTCAGAAGGCAAGAATAGAACTGAACTTTATTAACAAGTAGTGTTCCTCTTTTATACCCAGGATCACTAAGGTGAAAGAGGATTGGTCTCCAAGTGCAAACCTTTCACACCATTGGTACACTTGGACTTAGGTCAGTGTAGCAGAACATATCTATAAACAATATGAAAAGAGAGAGATAATAATTGTTTACATTCCCTTCGGACTCTTTCCCAGGCTCAGCCTGGCAGAATCTCTCTCCTCTTCTCTGACTAAACTGAGAACATCCATAGTCTTATGCAAAAGATCACTCAGGAAAATGTTTTGTTAGAGAAATCTACATGCACAGACCTATATAAACTTGAGTGGTTAGTTTTTAATAGAGCTACACAGAGAGCTTTAATAGAGAGCTTGGTCAAAATGAGCAATACTTTTATTTATATATTTGTGCAAGTTTGCAGAAAGGGTGTTTAACAACTACCTTCAAAGCATCCCGTCTTCAAGGAAACAAAACGCCATTGTCTACCAGCTTGACCATAAAGATCCATTTTTCCAGCTCTGCTTTCTGAACCTGTTTCACAACCTGTAGCTTATAGAACTTGTCCTTGCAAAGAAGGAAAAGGTACTTTGATCTGAATGCCGTTATATTCTAGCCAAAGGTGATGCAAGTGACCAGTGGGAGGATGGTTTTTGAAAATTTTATTCCAAAGTGCAATTATTCACCAAGACATGAAAGTAGAAGAGTGTTTAAAAAGAATTTAAAAATATCCCAGTAAAAAAAATCCAACAAAACTTCTCACCAGCAGTTTTTGTGTAGTGCACCTGCTGCCTGAAGCATCTACCCAGATGTTATAACTGGTCTATAGTTCAGGATTAATTTTTTTTTACTTGCAGTTCATACTTAGATATTTTTTGATTTGTACAATTAAGCTTTCAAACAACTTTGTTTAAATGCAAGATATTTGTACTGCATGTTAAAGTTTGTTAAAATCATGTAATATACACATTTCTTTTTATGTAGAGAGAATAAAGACTGATCTAAAGAAGAATATTTTGTGATTTAAACTACACACCTTGATGCTGTTGTTTCCCATTTACTTTCCCATAGCAGGTGTAATGGTGCTTGGAGATCAATAATCATTATGTGGAGAAACACATGAACACAACATTGATGGATGAGGAAATAACAACATAGACCACATAAGTGTTACATTAAGGATTGTGTTTTTGTGAGACAAATCTTGCTCCAGCTGACTGTGAAAAATACCTCTCTGCTTTTACACTCAGGCAGATTGAGAAAGCAGCATGTTTTATTGAAAGCTTAGTATGAAACTGCCAAGAGTGAAGCTATTCCTGCCAGAACCCATTTACCTGACTTGATTTTCAGCTTGAAAGTCAAAACACAGGTTGTCCTTTTGCTTTTATAAGCTGGACATTCATAAACATTCTTGGTTTCCCTTTGATCCATTGGATTAGCCTTTAAAAAAAATGTCTGGCATTCCTGAAGTCAGTTCCTGAACCATGCTTTTGTTCTGTGCTCCACTGGATGTCCTGTGTGGTGCCTGCAGTAATAGTAGTACCTGCTTTACATGATGTTCTGTAGTGCAAGACCAGAATCATTTGTGTTTAAAGAGTTGCTAAATAGTTAAGGCTATATATGAACATACAGATGTAGTGTAGACTTTAGATTTGGTTGATTTAGATTTAGATTCTGTTGGCCTGTGCATGATCTCTTTGTTAGAATGCAGAGATGAGTCTGTAGCATCTGTCTGGACTGCACTTGTGGATTCATTAACATGCCCTTTTACTAAAAGCAGAGACTATAGTGATAAGAAATTTTATATATGTAAACACCACACAAGCACAGACTGCACACACAAGGTTCCTTGATACTTTCTTCATCTCCAGAGGAGGAATGAAGTGTATTGCCCTTGGACTTACAGATATTGAAAAAAACCCCTTGATGCCCCCATTCAATGACATCCTTGCCATTGCTCCATTCCCCCATCCTAACTTTCCTTTTGGGGTTTACGTGCTGTAGTAGCACCTCCTTTAGAAAAGAGTGGCTTTCTTTTTATTAAATTTGGGTCCAGTGGAGAATATGAGTAACAATGGTCTTTAGTTGCCACTGGGAGTCAGTCACCTTTCTCTAATGAGCTGTAGCTTTGTTGACAACTTTTCTCAGTTAAAACTAAAATCTCATGTTACCAGCAGGCCTGAATTGTCGTTCCTGAACTAGATGCTTCAGTCTCAGGAAGATACAGATTCAAAAGAACAAAATAGGGTGTTAATCATGTGAAGGTTGTTAAAAGAAGAGTTGCATCTCAAAAGGTGGACATGGTTTGCATTCAGGGACAGCCTACAACCCTATTACAGCTACTGCAATGACTGCTTAAAAGTCCAGATGAAAAAATCTCTTTTAATTCTTACACTTTGCCCACCTAATTATACCTCATGCTGATCACAGAATCACTGAGTATTCTGAGTTGGAAGGGACCCACAATACAGGTGTTCTCAAGTACTTCCCTTTATTCTTGGTATGTCTCCCTGAAAGCTTTGTAAGCATTATGACCCAGCAAATAAAACATTCATAATTCTTTATATCTGTTTATTTAGAATTGGCAACTTTCAGTCAAGGTAGGAGAAAAAAAACAATATACAGATGATTTTTGTGGAGTTTTATGTTTGGGGTTTTTTTTGGTAGGTTGGTTGTTTTTGTGGGGGTTAGGTTGTAATTTTTTTTTAGAGTTGTGTAGTTTACTTGATCCAGGTTGCTAACATGTGCTAACTGCTAATCCTATTCTGCACCTTTTGAGAGCTGCAAAAATTTTCTAGAAGCTCATTTCTATGAAATCTATAGTTTCTGGAATAGTCCTTAAGCTTCTGAACCTCAGCTGGATTAGAGCTACTGCTTCACTAGAATGCAGACCTTGTTCAGACATACTTAACAGTTATTTAAATGCAGGAAGTATGTTTAATGATTAGAACACCAAGCTGGTATGAAATTTAAAGCCACAGTGACAAATGTCAGCAATCTAGCACCATGCCTAAGCTTCTTGGTGCTGTTCATAGGGTTACAACGCTTTAGTCCAACTCTTGATGCAGCTTCACTGCCTAATAGAGTCCCTGAACTAGGAGATCAAGCAATTTAAGTTTATTCTTACTTTGCATGGAAAGCATGCAGATACAGGCTCCTTCCCTTGCACACCGAGCACATCTTATCCTAAGGCCAGTTGTTCCTGCTCTACATTACAGCTTAAAAAAAAAAAAAAAAAAAAAAGTGCTTTCAATAATTCTATATCCAGACAGTAATTTTGATGTCAGAACTGCCATCCTCTTCTGAGGGACGGGACCAACAAGAATCATTGAGTCCAATTCCTAAATGAATGCTCCATATGGAGATTGAACTCACAAACCTTGGTGTTATTAGCACCATGCTCTAATCAACTCAGCTAATGTGCTGTGATTGTGACAAGAAATGAGATGTACTAGTTATTCGCTACACTGCTGAAAGTTTTCCATCCCCTACTGCGGCAACAACTACACAAAGAGGATCGGGAGACTTGATTTATTTTTCTCCTTAGCCTCATAACTCTTTTAGAGAAGAAAACAGAATGGTACCATGATATATGTACTGAATTAGTTAAATAACAATGGCAGAAAAACTTACACTCTAATTCAAGCTCTTATTTCCTTAGCTACTTTGTCTTCACACTACTGATTACCCTGAAGACAAATTTGGATTGTTCCCTCTGCATTCAGGAAAGGATTATTCTAGTGTTAAGGTGATTTTAATACTTTTATTTAAGCTGTGATTAACTGTCTAAACAGCATCACAAACATAGCTAACACCAGTAGTTAAAGAGAAAAGTCTGAGATTGAAACCATATGCTTGGTGGCCTACACCCATCGCTGCTGACCTGTCAGAAAGCACTGAGGATGGAACATGCCAGAAAGCCTCACCACTGCTGGCAGCACAACGCTGTGTGTCCAGATGTCAAGTTCTCAGCACCTCATGAGAAAATCAGTAACCCTGAAAGAGAAGCATTGCTAGCTCCTGCCTTGACTGTATGTGAACTGCTTTTTTAGACAAAATAAACTACAGATTTCAATTGTAAAGAGTTGTTTTGTCTACAGAGAAAGTATATTGCTCAAGTCACCAGAAAGTATAAGCTTACATAAGTCTAAGGTGATTGTTTCAGTGGAATTTGTTTTCCCTCATGTAAATGTGTCTGAAATCAGTTGTAGAAGGTGAGCAGCATGGGATGGATGGGTTGCTGGCAGGAGAGAATGTGAGTATGCTCAGTCCTGTTAAATCTTCTGTTTTGGGGAGAAACTTGAACATCACCGTGAGAAACTGCCAGAATTTGCTAACAGCTGATGGCCGTCTTAAAGATGCAAATTGTCTGATACCATCTCCATTGGTATTTAAATTTCGTAGTTAAACTTCCAATAAGCCAGAGCAAAGTGCAAATCAGGAACATAAGGGATTCTGACAGAGGCTCTGAATAATGGCATAATGCAGCATACATTGCCATAATGTATCAGAAGAATTTCCAGAAACAATGCCTGTTTCATCCCTGTCTAACCACTGCTGGTGGCAGGCTAACAGAAAGGAATCAATCCCACAAGATGCTGAACACGCCTGGTACTTGGGACAAAGGGAGGTGACAAATCTTTCACTTTAGCAAAGTGCTTGGTGTTTCTACAAAACCCACTTCAAGGGAAAAAACTGACTTTCATTAGGACAAAATTTGGAAGAAATGTGAATGGAACAAAGCTGCTGGGCTTAAATCACTGGAATAGCTCTGCATAGTAGCTAAACCCTGCCACTGTGGGGTACTTACCAATGGACAAAGCTGTGGATGGATATGCTGGCTTAGTCCTTGTGTCTGGCACAGCATCACAGAAGAGTGTATATGGCAGCACTTCCATGTGAGAAGAAAGTATCAGCTCCCCCTTTGGAGAAAAATAAAAAGCGTACATAATAACTATTCTTTCATTTCCAAAAAAGCCACAAAAATCCCTGAAATAAGTAATTTGCCTTACAGTCTAGCTGTTTTAAAGACCTATAGATCTCTGAAAGGAAAAGGTCCATCACCTTACCCTTTGAGGCAACCAAGAGCATAAGGTCTCCAGGCAATAGTCTTCCTGCATGATTTCTGCTATGTTAAGCTTCTCAGGAAGCATTTCCATAATATCACTCAGGACATTCTTAACCTGTTCAGGACAATACAACAGAGCAATAGAAATCCCAGCAAATCAAATCTTTCTGAGTCATCTACTTTCAAGTCTGATTTCTTCAGAAGAGTACAAATATCTCATTTTCTTAGATAAAACCAGAGATGCTCTCTCCATCACCTTTACTGTCTTCTTGGCAACAGTATTGAGAGGAATGACTGCAAGCCAATTAACACTTAGCAGCTTCTATTCAGCTTTACATTTTCAGGTAACATTGACCCTTCAAGCCTACTAATGCATTGTCCTGGACTTGGGATGACTGCTGTTACTAGGATACACCCCGGAACTGTCTTGATTTTCAGTTAAGTGTGATCAGTAGTTTGTATTTCTCTAGTACCTAATGATTTACTATCCATCACCCCCTCCACCACCCACAGTCCTTGCTGTCTCAGGCATTAGGCAAAACATAGCACAGGCACAGACATGCCTCACCCCCAAAAAGAGCCTCTCTCCCTGCAGGCTTGCTCTGGAACTGAGACAGAACATAAATGAAGAACAATTCATAACAGCGCTAATGAGCAGGAATTGAAATTACAGCATTAATGCAGCTCAGCCTCTGTTTCAGCCCTAGCTTTGGCAGACTTAATGATGAATGCCATATGTTATAGTCCAGACTCCCTAAAGTGGATGAGGACTGAGCATGAAAAGCACAAGCTCCCCCCAGGAGATGAAGCAGTGCTTGGCTACTTGCATGCAGAGCTGTCACATTTCCTCCTGCAAAACCTCCATGATCTGATAGTGATAAGAGGAAAAAAAGGGATGGAGAAATGCAGAACTAGAGTGACAGTCACAAGGGACTTTAATTAACTTTGGTAAGGATAAGGAATCAGATAAGTCTCAGTCTCATAATATACCAGGCTTTGGGGCATCTGGACATAGTTTCTCAGATCTACACTTGGAAAGGAAGATGCAGAAGATGGCAAAATCTGAAAACAGAACTAGCTGAGATTTGTGATTATATTTGCCTTCTCTGCTCCTTTATTAATCTAATCTCTTAAGCACCCGTGATGTTCCATGCTTAAAACCCATCCTTTTAAATTGTTCTGGAAGGAGTTTGGCTATATTAATGTATCTGTGTGTCTGACATATCTTGGCTATGAACAGAACTTCAATATCCCAGTCAACTCCATATTAAGTGACAACGCTTATCCTGGTATTAGAGTTGATCCATTTAACGCAGCATCTGATAGTTTATCAGTATTAATGTTATTGTTCTGCTAGACTCCAGATTCTGTGGTGAGGTGCTGAGGCTAAGAGATGGTCAGACATCCTTCTTGGCCAGGATTCACCTCTTCAGACTACCCAAAAACTATAAGTCCCTGAAAAACCTCCTCTTCCTTTACTGCTTGCAAAGGAAATCTTGGAGCAGCCACAAGGCTCCTGCTCAGATCAAGTTCCCAGGAAGGGAAGCAGTGGGAGAGCCTGTGCTTGGGCTGCTCTTCCTGGCATGGAAAGCCTGCACACCACTGCCAGGCTGTGCTGTGAATGCAACAGAAAAAAGCTACCCTAAGGAGTTTTATCATGCAGGAGATGGGAACAAAAGACAGAGGTCAAGACTAGACCAACCAATTTAACCAACCACACCTTTTTTCCAGTAAGGTATTTTTTGCTGTACTTGTTTATAAAAATAATACAAAAAACCAAACAAAAACAACAACAAAAACAAAACAAAACAACAAAAAAAGTGAGATAGATCCATACCTTGTTTCCTACCCCACAATAAATTCAATATGAAAAAGGAATTGGTCCAAATGTCTTCCGAGTGTATTACCTCTGGGCCAGGCTGGTGCATTATCATAATAATTAGCACTCACCTCTTCTAATTTGATCTTTTCTAATTTGATGCCTTCCCCCACCCCCAGCCCCCAAAATTAAGTCTATTGCTGAAATAACACAGTAAGATATGTATTCCACCTGCTGTTAAAATAACTGACAACACACTGGATGAAGAACTTCACCTCTTTCACTGCAGACTAGCCTGATCCCTCTCCCATATATACATGGGTTCCTTTACCAAAGGAGTTTTGAAGAGATTATCTAATGTTGTCAAGAATCCCATCTCAGCATATGGTGCAGTCCATTTAGCAGGGCTTTCAGATGAAGGCATTTAATCTATGTGTTTATGGTATCCATTGTAATCCAGATTTGGAGAGGCCAAGAAACATGGTGCCAAGTTCCGCTTCAAGCTGTCGGAAAAAAATTAATAATATTGGTAATGCTGACACCAGGAAACATTCTCCTGTAGCTACAAAGTTTCAGAAATTAATTTGACGTCTGTAGACATGACAGCTGCATGATCCAATACAATGGAGCAGGGTTATCAAAGTATTCCCAGCATAGTTACTATTTGCATAATTTCCAGACACTTCCATTTTCTGTGGGGTTGATTCTTACTTCATGAGGAAGCTTTGCATTTATTTTAAGGAATGTCACTACTGAGGCAAGTGTATTTTAAGTACTGCAAGTCTGCATCACCTCAGCAGCCAAGCAAGGAGTCTTATGCCATTTTGCTACTCCATTGCATCTCTCCAAGTACAGGAGTATTGTATGGGGTTTTTTACTGCTGCTTTGGCCTCAGTGAGATAGACACTGTGCTGATAATTTTAATAGGATTAAAAATTAAGGTCTCAATCAGGTCACTATTGAGCCAAGTACTATTAACTGCACTGTTCCTATAGAGCAGGAAGACCCTAACTCTGTCAGGATATTTAAGATAAGACTTGGGACTTTGGAACACATCAAGATTTATGTAGATAGGACTTTGATGAGATGTACTCACAGTGGGCTGACCTCCTAAATAAAATAAAAAGTAATAAATAAAATAAGAATAAAAGCTGTAGCCATCACATTTATTTTTCTAGACTTCCCCATCTCCTCTGCTGTAAGAACTTCACTGAATTCAAAAAATTTCTCTGAATTTATTGTCATAGAGCTGTCTGCAATTTAAAAAAGGCTTGAAGTTGTTTTTGCTGAAAAGTATTTCTAGCTCTAAGTGGTACTTTTCACAAAAGCTATTTCTTCCTAATGCAGGGTCCACTTCACAAAATCACAATAACATTTAACAGCTTCTGGCATTTAGAACAGTCTACAACAAGCTACTGCTCAAAATAACACCAGTAAGCACTTATTTCTGAAGTAATTTTGGTTCTGCAACCAGCCATTTACCTGTGCCTGAACTTGCACCACTAACCTCACCCACAATAAGCTGTATCTTAAGATACAGCCACTTTGAAGTAGTGCTGAGGTTTTGAAAAAAGCCCTGTTATTTACCTCGAGTGGAAGATCAATTCTGTCAGACAATCTGTACTTACCAGTCTCTCTCTGCTGGCACTTAAATCAGGTTTTACTGCATCTGTGGGAGTCATGTGCACAGAGGGAGGCTATGGGTTACGGGGATATGAAGCAGGAGCTTGCCACCCTTCTGTCTTTATGATTGTTCCTGGGTGAGGTCTATCAAAGCTGACACATGGTGGGTTATTCTAATGGACCCTGTGGAATGAATTTATAGCTAAAAGAACTCATCATAAAGCAAGAAGTTTAAAAGAGATGGTAATCTCCCCAGGGAACACAAAGCCCCACCACCAATGAAGGACCATCCATTCATTGGCTGCCAGTCACTGAATGATTTCCTGGTTTTGCTGGTAATTCTGGGCTTTAACTTTTTCTAATTACAGCAAGAAGCTAAGAAAGATACCTCACTGTTTAAAATACCAGTGGATCCACGCTAAGGGTTGGGTCCCTAAACTTTCCAAAGGCCATACAAATAGCAGTGATTCTGTTCAGGTTTCACCACCTATACTTATTTTGCAATTATTTGAATGAAAGTTCAGGCTTGTGAAGGTTAATGGACTACCTAAAGTAGTAAAGCACTAATTCTTTACTTATCCATAGGCTAGAGGCAGAGCTGGAGCCGGCAGGGTGAGCTTCCCACCATGCCCCCACGACCTCAGCTGTCATGTGGAGAAATCAGCCTCTTTCGAGGTCAGGAGTACAGTGGTGTTTAGCCTTTCCATCTCCATGGCAACTTACTCTTGGGCATCTTCTTCTGAGCAGTTACTTCCGATTGCCTTCATCTGAGTGTGGCTCTTTGACATATGAAATCCTGCTTCTTCAGGACCAGGGAGACACCAGCCCGCTCCTCTCGTTCACAGCCGAAAGGCAAGCTTAAACACACTGCCAAGGGTGAAAGGGGCACTTTTCCCAGCTTAGCCCGGCTCCACAAATGGCCTGCTCACACATAACATGGTAATTTTTATTTTTTTTCCTCATAAATGAGCTTTTTTACCTTTGGACAATGAAAAATAACAATTTTGGAAAGGACGCTTGAAAAATCTCTTGGTTGTTTTTAGCAAATTGTGTAGAGTCAGTTCTCTAAAGTGGCTTCTTCAACAGCTAAGGAGAAGCAGACAGAGTTTTTAAATATTTATATACATATTAAAAAGTACATATATATAATACATATAGTATATATCTATATTATATATGTGTGTAAATATATACACATGCCCCTGTATAAGCATCCACATTTGTTATAACTGCATATATGAGATTTTGCAGTTTCCATGCAAAACTTCTTAAAACTAAAGTTAAAGCAACATTTTCTTTTTATAGCCTCAAAAATTTTAGCATTTGCTGCTGATTAGAAGCAACTTTGGCAATCTGGCCCTTTGGAGTCATAGATGTTCCACATACACTGCTGTCCAGGATGAAAACTCAATAATGAAATTTGAATAATTCAGTATATGTCAGCTGGTGATAACCTGACAAAGCTACAGAAACAGATGTGTGAGAAGGTAGTGGAAAATTGAAAACGGTCTTACAAGCTATTTTCTCTATTTTAAAAAGAGTGAGGTGCAGGGAAATGTATAACATTTCCATTATTTTCTGAAGAAGAAAATGTGCAAAGAGTAAGTGTAAGTTCTGAGGATGGTGCCATTCTGGACTGCTGAAACTGGTGAGTCTATCAGTTACGTTGGTTAAAGAGCAGTTCCATAAAAGATACTTTCCCATGCCTACCTAAAACTTTCTAAATGGAAGCACCTTAAAATAGTTTTCCTAGGAAAATGGAGACCTAAGTGTATCTGATAATATTAAGCTCACTATACAAGCAGTGTTACAAAGTACAGAATTCAAGTTACCAATTAATGGTACTTGCAAAAGTAGACAAGCAGTATGCCAACTCACAAACCCTTTCAGCCAAAATCTGCTCATGATAAATTATCAGCAATTTTTTTCTCCCACAGCCAGACAAGACCTTGCTACAGATTGGATGAGAAAGCGCGTGGTCTTCTCTTTCCCTTAGGTTAAACATACTGTGTTCCAGAGCTTTAGGCACATATGAAAGTTCTCACCAGGGCTGGGCTGAGGAATTCTTGCAGACAGATTCAGCAGAGCCTGCAGTACCAGGCACCCATGATGTGGCCACCTTATGTGATCTCACCAAGGAGGTTATGTGAGTCCTCCTGTGGAGCCCACCTGAGGAACAGAATGCATCATTGAATAAAACAAGTCAGCTGCTTAAAGGAAAAATCAAAGCTGTTCTGAATAAGCATCCTTAAGAGACAAAAAAGAAATCCAACTACTTCCTTTCAGAAAGCTTCATGGTTATACATTTGCACTGCTGGGTTTGGATTTTTTCAGCAATTAACATCAAAATCAGATTTCTTTTATTTCAATCCAGTGAGAGGTATATGAGCAAAAATAGCAAATCTGTGACTAGAATTCAGTAATGGTGTAAAATGCACTATCCAAGCTTTATGTTTCCTACCTTAGCCCTTATAAAAAAAACTTTAGAGAAAACCACATTTTCAAAACACCACATTATATGAGAGAACATAACTTTGTGAACAAATGCATGTATTTTCTCATACAGATCTTTAAAAACATAACCCTCATGAGTAACAGGAAGGTAACCTACTGTGCCTTTCTTGGAGGGGAAATAAAAAACTTGTATCTGATTGCAGTCTTTTATATCTCCTCACTAGGGAGCGTTTACTTACTGAAATTCTACATTATTTCAAATTGGGAAGTATTCATGAACTTTGGTAAAAATTGAATTAATATTAATCCCATTACTGCACCATCATATAAGCATTAAGTTTATTGTAGAATTCTAGTCATAATGCCACAGAGAAAGCATGTAGTTAAGGGTGGCAAAACATTTTATTCAAGGAACCACTGTCTTTCTCTTTTATTTGGCTTCACAGCATTTGAAGCTTCTTTTTGCTCCCCTTTGGTTTGCAAAATATGCCAGTTTGTGATGAAACCTTTACAGACAGGAACCTTTACGCCCTTGGGGGCAGTATTTGCCTCCCAACAATTCAAGTAAAAACTTAATTATAGGCTTTAAATATTACATGATGTGACAGAACCGAACAAGTAAAATAGCTGCAGCTATTCCAGCCTGCTTGCTACATACACTTGTATGCAGCAGTTTGATTATGTGAAATACTAATCCATCTTTATTTTAAACTGGTTCAAAGAAAATGAAAAAAAAAACAATTTAAAAAAAGCCACTGAACTATAATATGCAGGGCTGCATGCTTGTGAAGAGAGGCCTGAACAGAGAATCCCTGTGAAAAATGCCAGCAACTTGGATTTAGAATGGAATGTTCTTGCAGTCAGAATAAACCTGCTTTTCTCTTTCTCGGCAACAAAATCTCATTTAATGTTTTTTTAATTTCATATATATTTATCTCAAGAAATTGCTTTTCCCTTTGTCTTTTGGAAGAGTATATCAATATTCTAATGCAGTACAAGCTCATTCAGCTGCACAATTCTGGGACATTGATTATACTGGGATAATCAAAGCTGGTGATATAAAAGGGACATTTTTGTGAGTGTGAGAAAACAGCGGAGTTTGCATTAGAAATATTTTGGGCTGTCAGGTTCACATAATTGCCATTGTACTCTATACAAAACTGGTCTGTTCTACCTAAGAACCCACAGAGCTGTTGCTGGGTGGGTGGATAATGGAGAGGACAGAATCTACTTTCCCCCACAACAATCTGGTGACAACTCCTTGAACAGATGTGTGGGGATCAGAAGGTGCAGACCAAGAGTGGGACAATAAGGAAGGACCACTGTACTTCACATGAAGACACCTCAACTATTGCAGATTGGACTGTGTGCTGGATTTTGTCTTAGCAGCAGGAAAAACAGACATACAAGATTAAATATCCTTGGGAAAACACTATAAATTAGTGGAAGTTATAACAAAGTAATGGCGATTTCCACTAGCTGATGAGCTAGCTCAAGTTGCCCAGTTTATGCTTTCTGGTCAATGCTTAATTGTCTCCAGGAAGTTCTTCCCAAAGGACAATAAATTATATACATAGGATATTTTTATATATGCACAAGGTCATAGACATGCATATATACATAGGAAGTGACATTTAAAAAAACCAGTTGTCTTATTTCTCTCTCCAATATCTACCTTAAAAAAATCCTTATGAAACCACAGGGTAATGAATCACTAAGCAGTACAATGAGAAAGGTCAATAAACAATATTACCAAGAGGAGAGAAGAAATAATTCTTGCTCTTACAGACCTTCCTGGTACTCCCTGCCATCAGAATACTCCCTCTCATTAATTAGCAAAATGAATTATCCAGCTTATGAATTGTGGTTTGAAAAGAACAGCTTAAAGCAGCAAGATTTATTAGCAAAGAAAATTAAGGGTTGGAATAAGCTGATTTCATAGACTTGTTTTCTAAATGGGAAGCATTATTAAATCATCATAATAAAATTAAGGAATTATTTCACTATGACACCAAGTACCACAAAAAGGGAAAACAGCTTGATGTCCTACTAACTAAATAAAGGCTAGCAGGGCTATGAAGACAAAAATATAATTAATTTCTCAGAGTAAATACAAGCTGGGAGATATGGAGAAAACCATATCATCAAAGGGTGACACTTCTGTCTCTTTTATTTCTTTATAAATATCTCTGAAATTTATTTAAATTATTAAAATGGGAGAATCTATTCAATCATATCCTATATCATTCAGTAATAAATAATTACTGCCTTTTATTTAGACATTTCACATTTTCACATGCAGAACTTACACAAATGACCTCAACTCAGTATTTAAACTATACAAGTATGAAATATTCTGTAGCTCAGAAAAAAAATCACTCTACTATCTTAACTTTGACTCAAGGGGAACATTACTGAGAAAGTCACAACAAGGTGGCATCCTTAATACATAATAATGACACATTCAGGAAATGCACCATTATTTATACATGTGACGTGCTGTAAATTGCTTCCATCATCAGAACTAATTGTAGTGATTATTAATGCAGTGTTATGAACTGTCAGAATTGCTGTTTGTAATTACATTTGTGCAAATGCTTCATTACCTGCCTAATGAATTTGGCATATATGCACATGTAAACCCCTGTTTTTGTTAACATAATGAAGGGCATTTTTTTCCCCTTAGCTACTGATGTGGAACCGGTTTTGCCTATATTTCAAAGTTCAAGCATCCACTGCCAGAAAACAACCACAACCCCCCACCCCCTTTGATCTGGTTTATTTTCATACTCACCAACAGCATCACATAATGCCAGCTACTTAAATAACAGCTTCAGGGAAAGAACTGTGTCCCCCTTATTCAGTATAAATATGTGATTGAGTGGAAATGACCTTGATGTGTGGTTACCTGACCACTTCCTACCTTCTGGTGGGCCTCTGAGCAGTTGCTGAGGACAGCGATGCAGATGGAAATCCCAGGTGAGGATTTGGTACCTTCCATTCCAGCCCCAAGGGCCAAACTTCAGTCTCCCAGGAATGCACCTGTGAAAATTGCACAGAGGGAAAAGGGTGCTTTTAAATTCCCCTTCTCTGGCGTGCAGTTCAAGGATCCCCTGTCAAAGAAAAAAGGAGTAACTTACATACTGGCAACAGGGAGTGTTGCTGAGAGCTGTGCCAGCCTCAGCTGCCAAAGGGAGAACTCACCCTGGAGTTCTCCCTTTGGCTGGAGCTGGAAGGAGAGTGAGAAACAGGTTTCTAAACAATCAGAGGCTATTGGGCAGGATTTTTTTCAGTAATATTCAGATGCAAAATTGTTGATAGTGACATTTTAATTCCCAAATGTCCCGTAGGAACAAACTGTTGTGCTACGGAAACTAACAAAAACAAGGTCTTTACCTAGAAATCTATAAATATTACTCAGATAACCACTGTATTTTCTTAGCTAAATCATCCATAGACTTTATGCCAAGTAGAAAATTTACTAGTTTTAACATTTATTAAAAACCTTCAAACTCTTTGAAATTTTACACCATTTCCTGAAGAGTCATGTTTGAAACTGAAGTTTAATATTTTTCTTTTTGCCTCCATTATTTATAGGGTTAATAGGGAATTTCAGCAAAATTATATTCAGCTGTTTTTTAAATTATTTGGCATTTGCCCGTAAAACTTGCAGAAATTAATCCTTATGTCTCTGATATTTTTCTGTATTTTATCCTTTAGTTTAGGAAATAATAAACATAACAAAATTAATTTTGTTACCCTTGAAAAGAATAATTTGTAGAGGGAACATCAGAGGGATCAACTCTTGTCTTTCAAGAGGAAATAGATCATCCTGAGCTGAACAACATGTAGCAGAATCTGGGCAAAGGTGAAGGATTTTATGTCTGACAAAAAAAACCTCCTTAAATCAGAATGCTGAGTTCAACCATGAAAAAATACAACACAAGTTTCTATCCTGAATAAAACCACAAACCCATGAAATGTATTCCATCTAGATTAGGCATACTTTGATTTTCTTATTATAACTAAAGAAAAAAAAAACCTTAACCAGAAATATATTAAAGACAGTGTCTGCACAGGAATTTGTGGTAAGCCACAAACACCCATGGCTCAGAATAGTGGGTGAGAAAAGAGAGATCTCTAAAGTGTGAAGCTTAGAAATTGGTTAATTCAAATATATACATATATATTCTTTCACTAAACACAGTCTGAAGCAGGAAAACAATGTATATGAAGCACCTTTCTTAAAAATTTTGTCTAATTTTTTCAGCTTTCCATTAAAAGTATTATAATAGTAAGTTATAAAAAAATTGAAAAAAGAACAAAATGCTGTATTAATAGTCAGCTTCTCAGCTAAAAAACTGCAGTTATTCTTCCTTTCTCACAAATATCTTTCCAAATCATCCCCTATCATCAAAATCAATCCATTTGTAGCTCTGACAGAGCTTTAAACATTATTTTTTCTTTCCTTTTTTTTTTTTTTAAATTTTATTTTCCCCCCCGGCATTGGCTAGTATTACTTTCTAAAGGAGCTCTTAGCCTTTTCACATCCCAGCTCTGCCCCCATGTGAGCTGTGCTCAAGCAGCTACAAGGGAATACCTTGCTGGAAGGCCAAAGTGTGCAGTTCTGGCTGCCTCCATCATGGTCTGCTTTGCTGATGAGAGCAAGCTGACTGCTCCAGCCACTGCTGCAGGGAAGCTGACTCACAATGGAACTGAAGATCTTTCTACAAGTTCTTGGAGTAGCAGACAGGGATGACCAGGGATCTGGAGGGAAGGAGGTTACGCACAATCTGTGACGAGCCTGTTCTCCACATTCTCATGTCTTCTTTCTCTGCCTTCTTCTTTCCACCCACCAAGCAGAACCTTACACAGGGAAAGAGCAAAAGACCAAACAAACAGCACATAACCCTTACTCTTTAATTCCTTTCTTTATGCCTGACTGCAGGAACCCATACACAGGGTACTGAGCCGTTGCCTGAACACCCAGGTATGCAAATCCACTCTGTGGGAGAATGCTCATGACCATGCATTTTGGTAAATTTAGAGCAGAGCAAAATATGTGAGTACCATTGAATGAAAGAGCTCTGGCTTTAGAGCATGTACAGTTTTTTTTTCATAAGTGCGCCACTGGCTACAGCTGGTGCAATAAATGATCTTTCTGTCTTTGTATGCATATCTGTGCATGTCTGTATTGAAGAGTACAAATGTTTGTGTTATTGCCACGCCTTTTCTCCTGCCCGGCACTGATGGGAAACACAGAGGTAATGCAGGGCACAGAGGGCTGGCACCTTGCAACTGTCAGGTTAGTTTGGAATCACAACGGTCCCCAGCCCTGGTCTCCTGCAGAATGGTCATCAATGCTACCAGTTGTCTCCACAGGGGAAGGAGTAATTAAAGCAAACAAAAGGGAAAAAAGAGCTTACTTTTACCTGGTCAAAACCAGCGTGGAAATTAGCCAGCATCCTTGCAGGAGGTTCACCAGTAATTTTAATTGAATTTTCTAGTATTCCTTGGGGAATGATGTGCTCTTTTGTGGTTGGAGCTGGCAAAGCACTGATGAAGACACAGAAATCAGGATGACATATTGCTGAAGGAGTTTGTCCAAGGTTCTGAACCACTCAGGTACTTAGATGAACATTCCATTGAAAAATAGCTAACATGGTTATTGTGCAAAGCCAAATAAATTTGTTGTCCTTAAGGAATTGCCATTGTGACTTTTTAATGGGGTAACAGTTAGGTCATTGTCATTTCTTGGTATTTATTGAGGTTTCACTGTTAGCTTCTAAATTTAAGGCCTTGACTCTGAAGCTAATGAAAATATTATAAACTCAGGATTAAGTGATCTGTGGTTGTGGCTGTTATCACATACAAAGACAAACATAGCTCAGAAGATGCCTCTTTAACTTTCTGTAGAACTGGGACCTAGAACAAAACATGACCAAGATATACCAGGAAGAAGATGGAAGTGCTAGGCAGAAAAATGGTTCCAGCTATCCTGCAGCTTAGGAAATATGTCTCAGACTACTTCAGAGTGTAACTGTAAAGTTCAAAATAGTATGTAAAGTTCAAAATACTTGAAGATAGTGGAAAGACCCTGATAGATCAGAGAAGAGCGTTATAATGGAAAAGTATCTGCCTCCAAAGCACCTCCTGGTGAAAAACAGGACTATCAAGGAAAGTTTAAAATGTGGAGTGTGGGCTAATGGTGTGGTTAAAACATCTTTAGCCCAGCCAACATTTCAACTTGAATTGCAGCTTATCCACAAGCTTTTCTTTTGTCCTTCACTGATGTGCCAGAACCTCCTGACTGCACTGGCAATCTCCATGCAGGAGGAATTATAGCCAAAGAATACAACATGTCACTCATACCCTGGTTGCTGCATCACTTTATTATGAGGTTTGCTGGAGGGATATTCCCTAACTGTCCCTCGTCATGTGGAAAAAGGAATAGAGGAATGGAAAGAGAGGGAGACTTTCATATCACATGATATGATTGCAGCTTGGCAGCACCTGAATTTTCATATAGGCTGCATCCATCGAATGCAAAGTGGAAGTGATTAAAGCCTTAATATAATAACAAAATAAAAATTCAATATATCAGATATCTGAATTTGAGATATTGATAATGAATGACAGAAGAGTGTAACCTGACACCAAAAAAATTGAAGTCAGAATTTCATCTGCCAGTTTGCCAACCACTGTGCCAACTGCTTTTGCAAGATCTGAAGTCAAAGTAATTTTTAAAGTATTTCCCAGGTCAGTCAGACTAGCACGTGTAGGTTGGCTTGGGATTTGGTCCAACATCTTCATGAAGTTTCCTTTCAGACTTCCCACAATCCTTCACTATCAAAAATCTTTACAGCACAATTGTTTCCTCTCTCCTCCCTCAAGAGCCAGGCATAACAGGCTGGAAAATGGAACAGGTCTGTAACACCAGAAGCTTCTCAGATGTTCCCCATCCACCCCTGTGGCTTCAGATACAACACTACCTCTGCCATCTCCCATTTTTTCATTCTGCCACCCAGAGCAGCTGAAAACCCTAAAATTCCCCTGAAAACAAACTTGACTCTTCCTTACACAACATTTCTATGCAGGATTGTTTTCAGACTGGCATGATTAGCTCACTCACATGAAATATGGTCAAGCACATTTCCAGTTTCATTGCTGATGAGGGGGGCAGTTTGTGCATGTCCCCACAGTGCCCAGCACATCAGGGCCCCTCATAAATCCCATGGTGGTTTTGTTTCCTCTGGCAGAAAACACTGGCTCTAACCCATCTCTTCATTTGTTGCAGGCAACTGGTTGGCAGAAAAAGCAGGCTGATGAGGTTAAAACCAGGAGAGGAGAGAACCATCCCATTCCCATAACCACCTTAATGTCAAGGCCTGGAACATGCACTTTCGTTTGGCTTCAGGGCTGACAGGTTGTCACATTGGCTATTGAGCATGAAACACTGGGGAGGGAGCATCTTTTTTCAGTGGCATTTATGGTTGCTGTGCTCCTGTTCACTCTGTTACTGTGCTGGGAAACCACGGCTTGCCAGGGCATCCCACGGATCTCTTTGTCCACTGCAGAGAGGGCTCCTGGTCCATACAAAGCTGGCCAAAGCCGTGGCTGCTATCTCAGACAAGCAGCACTCCAGGACTAATCATACAGCTTCCCCAGGGACAATCAGACCCATTTCATTAAAGTCTCCATTATGGCCTGCTGAATGGAATAGGAGCTCTTAATTAGTCGGGGAAAGGCTGTGCCTGGGGGCAGTCCTACCCACCCACCAGGGGCTTTCTGTTTTATCTTTCCTGTGCCTCCTGGGAGAGTGCACTGTTCAGCAAAAAGTGACATAAACCCTACTAATACGATGTTTATCCTGTTACAACCAAAAGCAAATGGAACAAGATTATTTGCTTAGAACTCTTATTGTTTAGATGTAATCCACTGCATATTTTGTGTTCTGGAAACATCCCTCCAGCTGAGGAGGTATTCCCCATCAGAAAGGCACTTTGACACTCACTTGGAAAAGAACCCAATGGCCATGTGGGGCAGCTTTCTTGAGCGCCTCCTTTGCAACCATCTCCTGCTTTTGTCCTAGAGTGATGTTATGAAATCTTCCTGAACCTATAGTGAACCCAATCTTTTTGCCTGCAATAGAAATAATTGGGGAAGGGTAAGTGATGTAGGGGGAGGAGATGGGAAAATTAGCAGAGCAGAAAAGAAAAAGAATGATAAAGCCCCCATTAATTTCACTATCACTTGTGCAGTACATATTACTTCCTCTGAAGCACTTCACTAAACCCTTACAATTTCAACAAGCAAAATTGCGAGCTCTCAACAGTGGCCTTATTGCTGGTATTAGAAAAAGCCTGCAGAAATCTGTTCCCTTGGTTTTAAGATAATGAACCTTTTGACATTTTGATAGATGCTCAGCATTGTTACTGAGCTTTAGAAACTCTTATGGGGGGTACAGAGCAATTCCCTCATGAAAAAGAGAGCAACATGTGGTAGATATCACATCAGTTTTTTAACTGATTGGTTCAGTGGGTAAATGCACAAGCCTCTCACCTTGTGGGGCCTGAGCTTAAATTGAGCACAGTGAGGTCACAGCTGTATTAACCTGGTATTCTCACTATTGTCTGTGGGGAATAGTAATCCTACATATAAAGCCACAGAACCCTATACAATTGAATATAGTTTGTATAATGACCATTATTTAGTCACAGGGGGCACAAGATTACATGAGCATGGAGAAAATTGCCCTCTGGCCCTCATCTAGTCAAAAAGGTAGAAAACAGTACAAAAAAACCCTGCATTATGCCAAGCAGAGGAATGCTCTGAAAATGTCTTCATACTGTAGTGCTTATGGTCATATACTTTTCATCCACCCCATTGCCATGAATATGGTGGGGGTGGAAGAAACTTTGGAAGTTGAATCTTCTGCCAAAAATAAACTGTGCCCAATTTCCCCACAGGAATGCATATTCCATCCCAGTGACAGCTTAATCCAGAAGGCTTTGTTCTGTTCAGAGAAGAAAATATAACTACACATACACTTCTAGAAGCACATACACACAAGCACATAACCATACATCAGTTTATCCACATTTCTAGCCCCGTATACCCCATTTCACTTTCAAGCTCAATTGTTCTTTCTTTAATGGGAGACAGTTAAGTGGTCCTTGAACCAGAAGCAAGTAAGAGGCTTATGTATGGTCTCATGATATTCAAGTGGGTCTAGTCCTGAAGACAGGATGAAAAACACAGGAGTGGCTGGACTGCTCTCTTCTTAGCATTTTGCTAAATCCATCGTTGTGCTTTTCGAGTACCTTGAGCCAAGATTTTTCTCCACACAATTTCTATACATGACAAAACATCTGCTAAACACAAAAGATGTGCCTTGATAACTACTTCTGGTCTGCGCCATTCTCAGACTTGAGTATCTGACACCAATGGTCATTTCATCAGAGAAATCATCAGGAGAGTGAACTGAAGGCAGGAAGGTAAGCAGGTGGTGAAGAAAGAGAGAAGATGATCTTTCCCATTTCCCTGCAGGGCAGTGGCCATATGATAGAAAAGAGCAACTTCTGAATAAAAAGGACCTCATTATCTCATTATATATGCAGGCAATACTGTCGCATAAAGCTGGGGCAGTTGGGCAAAATAAATACCTAGGACCAAGCTTGCATTCTCAGAAGTCACACAAAAATGGTGACTGTGGAATGTGGAACAACAGGTCTATAGTCATTACTTGGGACCAAAAGACAAAAACCGTACAGATGGAAAACAAATGTGTCAGTATCCACAGCTGAAGACATACAGAATCTTTCTTGGTATCATAGAAATTTCAAAAGGGAGACCTGAAAAACTGTCATCCTGTGGGGTTACCTACCAGCTCTAATACCATAATGAGAACTAACACTGAAAAAGACATTTATAGTTATTAAGAGGATAGCTTACTGTATGCCTATTTATCAATGACTGTTCTCCTCAGATACCTATATTCAATCTAAAAGAAATCACAATCACAGCTCTCCAAATATGCTCATGTGACTCATGTTTTACCACACTACCTTTTCATAAACTTTTCATCAGGAGAACAGGCTGTGAAGGACCACAGTAATTGATCTCAAATTCTGGTTGACCACCCAGTTCTAAAAGTTATTTGCTTGCTTCTTAAGATCTGTATTTGTCATGCAAGGCACTACCCTCACACACACTTGCCCTGAAAAAGGAATCCTCAGATTTCCAACCTCAGAGCATACGATATTCTGTCCTGGACAGTATTGCTAGTTTCTGAAAAGAGCTTTTTTTCTCCTTTTCTGGATATGTTGAGTCCACTCATTTCTACCATTTCTTGGTGGATCTTTAAATATCTTTATCTACCCCTCTGGACACAACTGTCACTGCCATAGCCTGGAAGCATGCCAAATACAGACGTACCTTTTGCATGATGACTGAAACAGGATGGCACTGATAATTTTTGATGTATGTAAAAACCCCTAGTGCAACTAAGGGACTCGGAACTTGCCTTAAAATACGAAATTACATAAATAATACACCATTAAATAAATAAAATACTAAATATATACACACAAGCATGCATAAATAAAAACAGTATTATTGGTGAGAATTTACTTTGGTTGGTATTGCCATTATCTGCTTACTGTTAAACATCTAGATATGACAAACTGGAAACCCTCTATGGGACATTTACTAAAGTGAGTGGCAGGGAGTTAAAATTCTACTTTTAGGGGAGTGGACAAATTATGGTAGAACAGAATTTCCTCACAGGATACAGTATGTGATGTTTAAGGAAAAAGGCATTCAAAGAGTGAAGAAATCTCCACTTTGAAAATATCACTATTTCTACTGAAAAAATTATGGTAGAATGCATGACTTTATCTGAAAGTGTCTAGGTGAGGCACATGTCCAGAAATAATAACAAAAAAGGTATAGAACTGAAAAGCAATTTTCCCAAACTACTCTAATGATACTCCATGGCTGTATAGTTAAAATGTCAACAGGATTCTCTTGTGTTCAACTCTGAACTGAAAAAGGAAATCCAATTCAAGGAGTCCTATCTCTTTACTACTTAGAAGAGCCATGGCAGCACACAAAATAGAAGAAGGTCATCAGAGTTGCTTCAGAGACACCTCTGACTTCCTGTACACCTGAGCCCTGACTTTTTCTAGGACATACAGCTACTAATATTAAAAGGAAAAGTAATGGCCTGAATGTTATTTGGATATGTATTATTTACTTTTTACTTATATATACAATTTCAACCCTAATTATCCAAGTGCAAGCAGCTAAGTCATGCTGTTTATCCTGAACCTAGCTTTATAAAGACATTGGAGCATTTTAAATAAAAATAATTACATGATAACATCTCTGGAATTTCTGCAATTACTGTTGACACTGAAGTAGCAGTCACCCTGTGTGAGAAACTACACAACCACAGGGTTTGGGCACAGGCATGAGCTTCCAGAGGAAAAACAGTAAATCCAGTAAATGTCGTCATCATCCATATGAAAATTTTTCCTCACCTGAAAAGCCATTTGGGCCAGGAAAATGAGCTTGTAATTTTCAAAAATCCTTGGCTTGTGAAAAGAAAGGCCGAATATGTGACAGCTTCTTTTAGGTTAGGGATACAACACTGAATATCTCCTGATTGTTCAGCCTGTTTAATTGCTTTGTGGAAGATGTATTGAAGGCCTTAGAGTTAGTACATTTATTTTTATTTATTTGAATTTTGCTTTTTTTGCTTTACTACTCATAAGATAATTGGTTTCCTACTGTAGGCTCCCATAAAGAGCTGACCCAAGCGGTGAAAAATGCACGAGGCTGAAAAGAGGCTTTTAAAGGAAATTTTCAGCAAACCAGGGCTGAGGGCTACAAACAGCAATACTCTTCTGCTTCCTTATTTACTCAGCATGGAGAATCACTTGAACAAGCTGGTAATTTTAGAATGGGTGATCTCCCTTACTCACTGCATTAGATCATTTGGTAGGTTTACGATGGGGAATTGTTTACACAAAATTCCTCCAAAGTCTTCCTTCTTGGCCCTGTGGGATGGCTTAACAGAAGGAAGATAAATTTTTGCAAGCACAGTCAGAAAGTAGTGTCAGAATGGAGGCAGCCAACAAAGAGACCCGTGGGGATATTCTGTGGTACAGACCAGCAGGAGATCACATCGTGTTCTCTTTCCTCTCACAGGCAGCCCTGCCAATGTAAACATCTGGTACAAGCAGTAACTGATGTATCAGGCATCACTGCTGGAGGCAGAATTCTTGCACTTTGGAAAAAACAAAAGTTGGCAAGAGACATTTTTACCTTCAGTGAAAGCTGGTAGATGGGGTTGACACCGCCCAGGCTGATACTCCCAGAGTAAGGAAGGGATGCTCTCCCAGCTGCCGGTCTGTAACGCTCTCTTGTCCTGTCATCCTGAGCTTCATTTTCTTTGGCTTCAGCTACGTGAATGATGACAGTTGTCCTGTTTATTTTTTAATGTGCCATGATTATCTCTCACCATTACCAAAATATTCCCATCCATACAGAAAAGAATATGGATGTACGCTAGAAAAACTGACTTTATTTCAGGCAGTAGCAAACATTTGAAGTAAGTAAGCTTCTTAGACAACCCTTAGGGAATAACTGTCCTCTGCAGAATCGCCTGTTTACCTGGGAAAACATGGAAATCATATATTAATATATTTGTTCCAATTTCATGTTGGTATTTATTAATTTTATGAGTACTATTTCAAGCACCTAAAAAAAAAAAATCAAACATCTGACAACTACATATTATAGATAAGAAAATGTGAATATGGGGAAGACAGACCTTTCTGGAAAGGCAGTAATTTCACTATTCCTATTCTAGCTCATAGAAATGTTACACTTAAAATAATAATAATAGTAGAATAATAAGAATAGACATTTTACAGGCAACTTTAAGTTGTTAGAAACTATTCAATTGTTACTGCCTTGTGTTGTACTTCTGCTGCCGTTGACTTTGCTGATTTGATTTTTTTACAAGTTCACTGTGGTCTAGGAGACTGCCCTGGGCAGCTGACAGGCTGAGCAGCCTGTCATCCTCCAGCTGCCTGAGCTCAGTCATGAAACTGCTCTGGCTTCTTGGTGAGGACTGTCTAGCAGAGGGAAGAAAAACACTGTGTTTAAACAACCACAGCAAGAAATAATGTTTTATAGCTGTTTTGAGCTATATTTTCTGTTTAATTACATCAGTTAATTATATTTAATTTCTGAAAGGCCAGTTTATTTTCTGTCCCAGTATACTAGATCTGAGGTTCTGGACACTCAAAGTGAAAAGGTTTAGGTCGTCATGGACTAGAACTTTATCTCTCTCCTAGTGCCCTTCCTCCTGAGACTACACAAAAGGACTCTGATCTTGTCAGGGACGGCAACTTATAATCTATGTGGCAGCTGAGAAAACCAGAAAATAGCACAAGGCTGAAGAGCCTCACTTTGGCAGCAGAGTAGGAAAACATTATCATAGTCTGTTCTGCTGGACTGACCTTCTAACAGTGCAAGAGTTTGACTTTTTATGGGGAGCTCTCAGTCAGACTCTGACCCACACCAAAACCCTGGATGATACAGACCTTGTAAGCATGCAGTCCCAGGTGGAACAGTGTGCAGAGTAAATGGACAGCTGTTTTCAGATCTCATTCCCAAGTATATGGCTTTCATTCTTCAAGGGGTAATTAAACTCCCTGACCCAGTTTGCCCTTGTATGAAGTTCTACCTCAAACAGGTGGAACAAATCTTTGCAGATTAAGTTAGTTAATTACATGAGATAACTGGAAACACACACTAGAGAAACAGGAGGTATTCTTGTTATTAATTTCACATGCCTTTTCATGTTTTATCTCACAGATTACAGTCTGCACAAAGTCCTTCCTATAACCACTTATAAAAGCATTTCTCCCCATCCTATATATTGGTATGACTGCAGGAGCCACTGAACTGCATCCTTGCAGGAATCAATTGTGATTTATTAACCAAATGCCCTAATTCCTAACAGTGCCATTACATGCTTGTACAGACTGGCATGGAATTTTATTTACACTTATTGGCTCAGGGTCGCTGAAGCACAAAGCACTGCAGGGGGCTTTAATCCTGCCCTGTAAATTAAATGCAATGCACAGAGCAAACCAAGCAGTAGAGAGAAGTGTGGGAATAATATCACAATATATTTAATTTCTAGCAGAGCTTTAGGTCAAGACAAGCCCTTTGGGAGCACTGATTTGAACAAATAAGTAAAAGAACTTTCTACACTTTCCAGACTCTTAAAATCTTTCTAATATGGGCTAGTAACAATTACAGTGCAGTGGACTCAAACAGGCATATTAATTCTAGACTTAAAATTTCAGAGCAGGCAACAGACAAATCAAAATACAGTCCTTACCTTACTTTTTTTGTGAGTCTTGCATTAACAGCCTCAGCCAACGCTGGTCTTCCAGCCTGTCCCTGCTGACAGTGAAATTAATTAAGGTAGTCTGAGCCCGCAGTTCTGGCTTGTAAGTGAGGGTTAGCCAGTTTAGTGTGAAGGATGAAATGAAAATTCTTGTTGAATTCACATTTTTTGTCTTCAATCGTGGTGCATCTGGGAAGGAATAAAATGAACAAGAATGGGGATCTCACTAAATTAAAACCTTGTAAGTATCTCAGATTGCAAACAACGGGTACTGTATGATCTTAGCAACATAGCAAATGCATGCAAGCCAAGATTTAGGTGCCTGCAACTTAAGAAACAAAATGAGGATTATTGAGCACAGCAAAAGTGTAAGAATATTTTTTAATTGTTGTAGTTTAATTTGTATATACAGCAGACACAGGGAGATTATTCACTGCTGTACTGAAGAGTCTCTGGCTTAGGGATAAATGTCTATCATCATAACTTACCAGAAACTTAGGAAACTTTTCAAACAAATGTCAGTGAGAAAGTTTTTATTATAGTTTCCTTAAATATATAGCCTAAAAAATGAAGCAGGGACATGTATTTATAACAGATGGATAGACTAGAGGAGCGGGAATGGCTGGCAACTGAAACAACAAAAATAATGTTTTTAAATGTAATTTTCTAAATGTTTCATTCCAAATCAATTATTTGTTGGATGAAAGAATGAGGTATCCTAGGTTCACCTTTTAGTTACTGAAATCCCTTACTGAAGAGCTGTCATTTCCTGATCCCGTATCTTTAGTGAGGGGTGAAGCCTGTCCTATAACAGCTACTCTGTGCCATTTTGAGACCCAGCAGGAAGGCAACATGAAGTTCACCGTCCTACTTCTGTGTCATAACACCAAAAAAGTTGAAAGATTACTTGTAGACTACAGTGTGTGCCGTATGTCTGGTCTGGTGTGACCCAGTGACACAACTTTTTGTCATTGACTCGCCCAGTGAACAGTGTATCAGTTTTCAGGATTCACTTGCCACACACGAGCCCAAAACCAGTATTTTCTGTACAGCAATGGTTTTGAATGTTCTCTGCCAAGAAAGGAGATTTAAATATTAGTAATAAAACTCTGTTTAAAGGAGGGCTAATAGAACATTTATAACATGGAGCGTTTATAACATGAACTCTTCATAAAATTCAAATTGGCATTTGTTAACTAAAATTTTCAAAGTATTTGTGTTAGCATAGATACTAAACACTTAAAATGCAATTTATGAAAGTCACATCAGAACATGGATAAAACTGTTACTTTCTGTAGTAATGTTAACATTGCTTTCTTTCTAGACTATCACAGGGCACTGCCAGAGCCAGCAGCACAGGTTTCAGCTCTTAAGACCCTTGCCTGCTTCTGACATGCCTGTAGCTGTAACACATAGGCTAAACTAAATGGCGTAGTGAGATCCTTCTGCATTTCACTGGGGAGAAGGAAGAAAAGAGTGATGCTTATGATATCCTTTAAGTGAATTCCTTAAGGAAACCTACTATGTCTAGTGCTGGGAAACCCATGATTCTACAAAACCCAACATCAGACATGTATATTTTATAATGCTGCCATGCAAACTACTGGAGATGGGTTTTCCAGGCTTTTGCTTGTATAATACTGGAATAATTTAGCTATATGGTCATGTCCTTCAGATTATACAGCCTCTCTCAGGTGGACATGAATTCGCTGTCCAGTTCTGCAACATGGTCTCTCTACAGCCTTCAAACCTGACTGCAGCTGGAGGGAACAAAACTGTAGAACTTGACATGGAGAACAAAATTTTGCTTTGCTTTCAAGACAAACACACTGATGAAACAAGAGATCTGACAAAAGAGATGTTCTTCAGTTTGCTTTGTCAGAAGAAAAACATTTGCTAAGGGAGTCAGGCTATGTTTCAGAACATCTATGAGGCAATATAACAAGTTTTAGAGTTCTGGATGAAAATATTTCCTTTAGGAGTTCTCAATTCACAGAAGCAATAAATAACCAATTTCTGTGATTATCACCTATGAAAGGCAAAACCTACATAATGACTTGGTGGGTTTTATTACTGCAGCTGTTGTAGGTTTTCTGTTAATTACGGATTTGGGAAAAAGAAATGTTTTGTTATTGCTCTCGCACTGTTCAAGAGTATAAGCAGCAACGATAAACAGAGAGGTGGGGAGCTCAGTAGGATGACTTAAATTCTTTTTCAGTAAAATATATCTGTTTAGAGGTTAATTCTGGATTATGAAGAAATGCAGCAAAATAGGCATGGATAATAGAAGTCCATGATAGAAGGAATAGAAAAAAACACTCACCAAAGGAATTTCTAAAGACAGGTTCTACTTTTGGCAATATTTTCTTCATAATGTCCTATTCCCTCAGCTGATGCAGATAGGACAGATGGAAATAAAGCACCACTCTACCCAGGAATAGACATAACACCTTTTGTGTGAGTCCCAGCTCCCTGGTATTTAAGAACAAACAAAGTAAATTAAAAAGAGATTTTTCCCCACTATTTTTTTTCCTGTTGAAATTCTCATAGAGTTTGAAATAAAGTAGATTAAGGGATTCAAAAAGAATTTAAAATGCTTAAAAAAACCTGTATATGCCTGGAGTATAAATTATTTTTAGCCAAAGCAAATATAAAACCAAATAAATTCCAGGAGGTAAGATGAGCACTCGGCTATGAGAAGACTGGGACATGTGAAACATCTTGTCTGATCTGTCAAACTTGATTGATTGACACAAAGACCTGCTATTCCCTTGTGTATGTTCTGCCTAAGGTAGCAATGCCTAGGCCTTTCAAAGAGGAACTCATGAAGGTGAGAAATTTTGAATATAGGAACAAGACTTCATATAATGAAATGGCTCAAGAGCTAAT